TGTGACAGATAACCAACAAACCCTTGTGTGTCACTGTAGTCTCCAGTAGCTATTATTCCTCCATTTCTTCCATGCATATGACTTTCATATAAGCCAATTTTACTATGGGTAGGGTCAAAGAATAACATCATTGACTTATCAGGAGGTGCAATTAGAATGATAGATAGCTTTTCATTTAACTGACACACTTCATTTAATTTGTTCTCCAAAYAGGACACATCAAATGCAGAATTATCTTCTACAACTTGTAAATTGAAGTGGTCATCTCTGGACTGAAGAACTTCTGGGACATCAAGATTGTATTGCCCAGGAGGTAATTGAAGTTTCCGGTAGTGCTCATTGCCAGCTCTTATAATGTCTGCAAAAGAAGCTACTGACTCCATTATATTGTCATCACTTAATGGAATGTGTATTTTATCTGATAGAAATGAATTGGCTCCARTTGCTGCAATAACTGTACAGGCATTACTGCCAAAGGGATACCCAGAAAGCATAGCCTGGCTTATTTGAAATGGAAGCAAATATTCCTTTACACTTCCATATGACTTTATGTTAACTGTGGTTATTGGTTGTTGGACAGTTTGGTATGTAGTTGATGGTCGTGAACGCTGTGGTGGCTGTGGTGTTTGTCTTGTCTTGGTACATATACCATTTGGGCATTTGGTGCATTTAGTTGCTTCTTTTAGAGGTCTTTTGTGTCCTTTTACTGGATGTCCACACTGTCTGCAATGGGGAACTTTTGAATTTGTGGCAATTGAATTTTTAGGATGTGGCTCTATAGGCTGTTGATCCTGTCGTGGTCCTTCAATGACTGGCAATCTGCTAATCTGGTCATTAATTGCAGCAATCCTTGACTCTGTGTCTTGTGGCATACATGGTCTTATTCCAGGTGTATCGTTCATACTCTCTGTCTCATGTGTTGGTTGATCAGGGTATATTTCATCACCTTCACTTGAATGTAGTATTGCATTTTGAGCAGTATTTGACAAMGTTGCTGCAGTTTCTTTCAAAAACTGTTGGCATAGTGGACAGAAAGCTGTCTCTTTAAGACATTTTTGGTGAAAAGAATGAGAACACCCCTCAAATATAACCCATTCGTCATGTTTGGATATTTGACAATTAGGCAGGTCACATAGTTTATGCTGATCTGGTTTATTCAAGCAACAGTATCCTAATGGAAGGACTTTTGTTTGCACAGGCTCTGAACCAAACAAACTTGGTAAAACTACCATTTGTTTTTTCCTTTGAATTTTGATTTCAGCTTTATGCAAACCATTTGCTACAGCAATAAAGATTCCACCAAGTATCTCTCCACACTTTGATTTCAAATATTGCAACTGATTTTGTGAGAAGATAAAATTTTTGGGGGGGCAAAACCAAGATTTGAAATTGCTTTGTGATTTTTTAGCCTGGAATGTTGCTTTTGCYTTTTGTTTTAACTGTTCAACAGTGTCACTGGCATTTGTTTTTGCCCGTATGATACTGTGAGCATTCTCAACAGGATATTCATCAAACATGACAAGAAAGGATCGTAGGCCTTCATGAAGGTCAGCATTGTTCATCCCCCAGTAGGTACACATCGCTATCCACACCATTGGAACTTTGTTGTAGTGACGCCGCTTAAAGCACATAAACATTACCCAAATCCTCACCATTGCATTTAAGTACTCAGTATAGTTGTTTAGTTTGAAGCTTGTGCTGTATATTGTAAGTACAAGTGGTAAGTAATTGTCAAGCAGATTAAGTAAAGTCATATATTGTAGGTCTTTGCATAGTTTGAATTTCTCTTTCACAGTTTGTCTTATCAGTAGCCAACCTCCATATACAAGTTCGAGCATTAAACTAATTCTCCATGGTTTTGGGTTTTGTGCAAGTTTGCTTTTTGGGAAGATTTGGACATGTATTTTTGCAAAAAAAGGGAGGAATTCCTTAAATAGTGTTTCTCTGGCATTCAGTGAGATGTGCAAAGGTCCGATGCATGGCATGACGGATAATATAGCAGGCTGCTCAAGGTCAGTATGAGAGGAGTAGGTGTGATCTTGATGCTCTGGTTCAGGGATGGTCTCTATGCCAGGAGTTGATGTAGCATATAAATGGTCAGTGAGTGGGACATATGGAGGGGTATCCATAAACACATTAGGGTTTTCCGATTTACAGACTTGGGTACTAATAATACCAAGATCAAATTTGCATATGTGCACTGATGCATGATCAGTCATAGCATGTGCGATACGATGTGACCTATGCTTGGYGTGATTTACAACAACTACATTTTTGATAATTRTTACCAGAGATATTATAATTTATTTCATTTTATTTAAAAATAAGCATTTAAGATTAATTAAGATTAGCGAAATTGTTATTTATTGGACTTGTTATGTAAAAAGGAAGCGTTATTTAMCGGCTTGATCGTTCAGGGGAAAAAAACAAACTTAACATAATTACTTTGATTCATGTTTTTCAATGACTGACTAGGAAGGGTWAAAAAATGTATAGGGGGTTTGATTGTATTAAGATATTTTCTTAGATCAGAGGTATTAAACTTTGTGCGACGGTTTGTTAAGTGCGAACGATAAGAGTTTGGGTCAAAAACACTGTACGAGGAGGAGGTGGAGCCATTTCTAAATTTTTGCTACAGTAACAGCAGAACGTTAGAAAGAACCAGCGGAAATATTGCGAGAAATGCTGGAAAAGGTGGAGGAGCCATAACCTGAATKTCAAGTACTGGTCATGCATGAAATACGCATTRATTTAAAAAGGTAAACGTAAAAGGATGAATTTATATAGCTCCATTTCCAGGAGCTCAATGGCGCTTTACAAGATCAGTGGAGGACTTTACGGGCTGCATATTTATTCATTGCAA